ACACAAAATTTTCTGCCACAAGTCCTACCTGTCAATGATTACTTCAGCTTCAACCGCAATAACACACAGGCAAACAATAGAGGCAAACTCAAGGTAAACCGCTCCAAACTCGATTGCAGAAAATACGACTTCAGCCACAGAGTGGTCAACGCCTGGAATGCTCTACCCGACTCCATGGTTACATCCTCAAACCCTCAAACAGAGTCAACCTCAAACTGTCTACCATGGACCTCACCCCATTCCTAAGAGGTCCGTAAAGGGGGCGTGCACCAGCGCACCAGCGTGCCTTCCGTCCCTGTCCTACTGTCCCCATTTATTTCTACTCATTTCCTTTGTTCATGTCCATGTTTATACTTATACCTGCTATCTTGTACATGCTCGACAAAGTAAATAAATAAAATAAGAAATAAAACCGGAACCTCCAGATAAAGAGCAGCCCCATATAACAGTGATGGCAAATCTTTTTGTTCCAGAAACGTTGCACGGAAATGTTGTGCATATGCTTGTCAGCGCCGCACTTTGGAAAAGCCAAATTTTTGTGTTCTAGCGCGCATGCACGCCCAACGATTACCTGGCTGGTGCGCATGCGCAGACCAGTTTTCGGCACTGCCGTGTGCGTGAAGGGACAACATTCCGGAAAAAACGAACTTCCAGGTTCTGGTGTACATGCGCACCCGATAATCAGCTGGCCAGCATGCTTTCGGCATACACTGATTTTCGGCACTGGCTCACACGTGAAGGACAGCTGATCATCGCAGGTGCATGCGTGCCGGAAACCAGGAAGATAAACAGGCAAGGCTTCGCTTGGCATTTGAGGCACGCGTGCCAAAGGTTTGCCATCACGGCCATATAGAGTGCCTTGAACTAGTCAAGGCAGGTGGAAATTAGGGTGTTCAAGGAATGTTAAAAGCTGTTCCCACTAAAATATTCCTCCTTAAACTTGCATTCTCCTGATGGATTCTAGGAATCCAAGATCCCAGAGTCCCACTCCATCTGGAGATGCTTGGCTGGGAAAGACTCCACTAATAATCCCTTGTGATAAAAGCACACACAATTTTATCCCCACATCATCCTTTCTCCTTTTTTCTTTTTAATATACCACGCTACCTGATTGACTGCCTGGCAGGTTTACCAACGGATGCCAGGCAAGGATTAATGGTGCCTGTCTGACGTTCATAAAAAAAAAAAAACACCTCACGATCCAAATATATTGCTGGTGTCCCCGCAGGCGTGACTATTTTTGGGTGCTTCCACGTGAGCACAGGGTTGCTGATCTTGCTGGATTTTTGGGTAGGACTTAACCAAGATTGTGATGGGCAGGTGGTTCGCTAAACCAGCTGGCAAGATTTGCCCCTGGGAAAAACCAACCGGAGAACAGAAGTTGTAAGTAGCTGGAAAGCTGGAAGGAGAGGAATCCCGGAGGAAGGGAACCAAGGAACTAAGACAGGAGTCAACAACCTGAGGCTCTGGAGCTGCATGTGGCTCTTTGGTCCCTCTGCTGCGGCTCCCTGTTGCCGGTCGGCGCCACAATTTTGAGAGGAGCCTCCGGGTTTTTTTGGAGGGGGAGGGTTTGGGAAGCATGGCGCGCCAGGAGGAGACTCTATGGCAAGGGATGCATTTTACAGTCGGATCCACAATTGATAGGGCAGGTAGAGGAAAAAATGTGACACCACTCTAGGAAGAGACTCTATGGTGGTGGTGGTGATGGGAACCGGACTTCCGGGCGGCTCCAGAATTGCACGGGGTGCTTCCGGTTAGGACTTTTGTGGCTCTTTGAGTGTTTAAGGTTGCCGACCCCTGAACTAAGAAACAGGTAATAAGGGGCCCGCATGGATAAATGCAGAGACGCAGTGGCTCAGTGACTAAGACGCTGAGCTTGTCGATCAGCAAGGTTGGCAATTCAGCGGTTCGAATCCTTAGCGCCGCGTAATGGAGTGAGGTCCCGTTACTTGTCCCAGACGTCTCCGTGGTCATGTGGCCAACATGACTAAACACCGAAGGCACACGGAACGCTGTTACCTTCCCACCAAAGGTGGTTCCTATTTTTCTACTTGCATTTGTTACATGCTTTCGAACTGCTAGGTTCGAAAGAAGCTGGGACAAGTAGCAGGAGCTCACTCCGTGACACGGGCACTAGGGATTCGAACCACCGAACTGCCAACCTTCCTGATCGACAAGCTCAGGTATAAACGGCGGGTTTAAATTTTGCAGGGCTCAATTAGGGTCTCTTATCTGAGCCTTACAGGAACTGTGGGGTTTCGTCTAGTTGTGGTAAAGACTTAGTGAAGTCCCATTAAGTCAGAGGTCAGTGTCCCATTAATTTTTTTTCATAGAAATGAAGGAGAATTTACTGAGCTTCCCTTCTGTTCTTCCTCCCCGTGCATTCTGCAGGGATTTTAGCAAAGATGTGGAAAGCCAATCCTCTGGTCCAAGGAAACAGATGGGGAAGATTTAGAAGCCGCGAGATTGCTACGGTCTTAAGAGGAGAAGGGGGAAGGATTAGCTTCGCTTATTGGCACAAAGCAATCGGCTAAATTTCTGTGCCTTTGCTTACAAGGGCAGAAGGACTTTTAAAATTCTCTTTCTGGACTTCGGAGCTTGCTTGTTGCCTCTACAGATCCACCAGGGGGCACCCATGGGTTAATCGCAACAGGCAAACCAACGTCTCTACCTGTCCATTACAGGCAGTCCCCGACTTATAACCATTCGTTTAGTGTCCATTCAAAGTCACAAGAGCACTGGGGAAAAA